GGTTAAAATTAATTCGATTGCCTACATTAAAAAGTAGACGTATTATGTTGAACACTATGATGGTAATTAAAATACTAAACGGTAATATACCCCCAGACTTCCTAATTCCATCCATTAGAATAAATGTTCCTTTTCGATTAAGTAGATATTATCAACCATTATACGTAGATTTTCATCGCACAAATTATTCTATGGGAGATCCACTTAGTAAAATGTGTATTGATTTCAATTCTGTGTATTCTAACGTAGACTTTTGCATGAATATAGAACTAATAAAATCTAATATCATTACATTTTTAAATGAACAATACAACTTAATAACAAACTGGCTGTTGAAGTCGATTTCTGTAGCTGGTTTTCTATCCCTTCTCATATTCCATCATAATGCGGATTATGGTGTGTACGCGATCCCTACGAAAGGGGAGGTCGCGCCCTCGGTCGGCAGGGGTGGGAAAGTGAGGCGTGGGAATGAACGATAAAAAAATTTCTTTCAGTAAACTCCAGTAAGTTTGTTGTTGTTCAACTGTCAAACTTGCTCTCTCACATGGCTCTCTTTTACTGGATTTTTGGGTAAACAGACAACATTACAATTGCTACCAAATATCGAGTAAACAGACAGAGCTAATTTTTCACATGATTGGCAACATTGCACATCGAATTCAAGTAGAAATTATGCACTTTGACAGTTAATCAAGACATCAGATGCTCTAAGTGGACTACCTACTCATTGTGCCATGGGCATAACTATACAAGGTAGTCTCATTTGAGAAATTGATAATAGCAACACTTCTTAATATGGAATTCATATATCAATACCAAATAGAATGAAACATAAATTCCATAAAATGTTACCCATGGCGACTGGCAAATTTTCAACAAATTAAAAAAATATATATATTTTCTAAAGCCCCACATTGTTCTCAAGATTTAACTAAGAATGTTGCAATTTATATTTATAGGTTTTATAAGCAGGAAACTTAAAAATATTAATAAACATGAATGATTCAAAAATTTTTGCCACTGGACACAAGGTTTGCGTACATTTCGAAGAAAGTTATTTTTGTTTAAATTTTGAAAGCTGAATGTTGTCAAAAGCAAATTTATGAACATGACTGCATGAGACTATCTTGTATAATTATGCCATGGTATTTCTCTAATAAAATAATATAGGCATATTACCCGAACTTTTGTAATCCAACATTTGGTTTGCTGGGTAACTGTCAAAGTATAGGGTCACCATGAAAAATATTAATATCAGAAATACCTTGCATGAATAAAAAACATTTGCTTGAGAGTCTAAATGCAACCAGAGAGTCATGAGTCAGCGTCATACTTTTTCGCCGGCGTGAAAACCAAAAAAAAAGAGTTAGCGTTAGCGGTACAAAATGTCAATTATTTGTTTTCATTTTTTGACAGAAAATTTTACGTTGTGCAAACCAAAATCAATTTATTATTTAATAAACAATAATGTCAAGGAACTTGGATAATATTATTGAAAAAAATATTTTTCTTCCATTTTATTATTAATTCGTTAAAAAACGTCCACAACCCTTAAAAATATTTGTTTTTTTAACAGCACTGCCATATTTTTTGATATAAATGCTCATTGAAATTTGGTAGCACTGTTCATTTTTACCTAAAATATGGCAACTCAATTGAGAGCAAGAGAGAAATTCTGAGTATGACGCTGAGCAAAAATGAATAAAATCTATACTAGCGTCATCAGTGTTGCCGTTTGAAAATTTTATTTCCGCCCAAAATTTCCCCAAAAAGTGCCCAAAATCAACAATTTATGCCCAAAAATTCAAAAAGTATACACTGACGTTAAATATTTAAAGCAAGGGTCCTTTTTGTTCTAATTTTTTTCCATTTACAAATGACCGTTTGTCTGTCCAGTCATCCGGTGCGCACGATGTCTTTCGAAAGAAGTAACCGATCTCATCCAAACTTAGCACATCATCACATTTCTTCCAAATTTAAATCAAGTTCGGAGATGGAGAAACCTTCTGCGTCGAAATTTTTTTCATTCTATATCAGATGAACGGAATGTCTGATTCAAACTTTCTACCTACTTTTACCAAACCTAAATCAAGTTCGAAGATGGGAACCCACGGGTCATTACTTCAGGTCAACATTTTAAAAGGTTGTAAATATTGATTTGATGCATTGTTTGTACATAGTAATATTTCACCAAATTTGCATTTAATCCGAATATGTGGCCTCTATGGCATAACCTTTTGATAAAAACATGTACCTTATATAAAGCAAATGTAAATAATGTGTGGTCTAAACATGAAAGACCTTAATACTTATACTTAATATAAATTTTGGTGCAATTATCGGTCACAATATAATAAAAAAGTTCCACCTTGGCTATAGAGTAATTTCAAAACCTAGATTCAGGGTATATATATGTCGAAAACCGACTGAATGACCTAAAATAATACCAGGAAGCGGAGCAGAATATTCAGACGTGGCTGACCATACAATACCCTACACACAAACACTAAATATACATTTTCAGTCACGTTTGTCCACATATGAACATTTTGGTATATCCGACTACATACGTCAAGATAGTTGAAATGATTTCAAAGTACAAATTATTTATTTTATTTCATATGTTCGTGGAAAAAACATGTCCACCATAGAATGACATGATCTTCGATGCCCATATCCTCTTTCCGGTTAAATTACATGGTTTTTAGATCATACATATGGTCTATAGAGCGATTAGAATCAAACATAAACATCCATGATTTTTTCCCGTGTAAAGTTTAGTCTTGTTCGGGTCATAAATGTGATCTCGAGAGCGACCAGAATTAACGACAAAAGTAAAGTTTTAGATCCATTTGAACATATAAGAGTCGTCTTTGGATAGAACCTGATCCACATACAAATGGCGATTAATCCATACAAATTATAATGGACAGGCGGAAAAACAGGTCTAAATCGAATCAGCTAGTCGAAATATATCGGTGGTCTTGGAGCAATTATTTCGCAGTTTTACAAATTCTTGGGACAATAAAATTTCTCACAACATATTTGTGTAGGGTAAACAAATATATAAAAAAATTTAAATGTTCCGGAAACGAAAAAATGCCCAAAATCCGCCCAAGTCCAAAATTTTACATTTTTTATGCCCATTTTTTGGCATAAATGCCCACTTTCGGCAACACTGAGCGTCATGCCGCTAGACGCGAACGTCAGCCGTCGCGATTTCCCGTTGCCAATAAGAAACACACGGCAAACTACTTTCGCTGACTCTAGACTCTATGGTTGCGTTTAGACTCTCAGCCGTCGCGATTTCCCGTTGCCAATAAGAAACACACGGCAAACTACTTTCACTGACTCTAGACTCTATGGTTGCGTTTAGACTCTGAGAATCTTTCTCATCGCCGATCATTATTTTGTGTTGTCGAACGTCGCGCGATTATTTAATTCAATCGAGATATAAGTATTGTACACTGCCAAGTTATAAACATTAATTTTTATTTATTTTTTTTTTCTATAAAAGAATCACCAACTGTTTTCTATAGATCAGTTATTAACCAGTGCATAATGCTGAACAATTTATGCAAAATCAGTGCTTCCATATCACGCAATCTGCTAGGTAAACTCATTAGATGTTGTTATACTATATTCACTGTAAACAAAGTCCAGTCCAAAGTTCGAAACAGTCCTCTTAATTGTTACTAATCTGTCTTTTTTATGTTGGATTTTGTTTTAGCTAACAATACAGTACGCAGAATGTCGGGAAAGATTTTGACAGCAAACACTACTAATAGTGCAGAATACAAAACATTAAATATTGCAGTTCCAAAACCCTTTGTCTTCAATGTCGAACTGAATAGGCCCAAACGATATAATGCCATCAACAAGGAAATGTGGATGTAAGTCATTAAATGATCGATGCATGTTGTTTGATACACATTATAAATACATATATTTATATTTAGCGAAATTAAGACTTGTTTCGAGAGCTTGAGTTCAAATCCCGATTGTCGTGCTATTGTTTTATCTGCATCTGGCAAACATTTTACAGCTGGTAAGTAGTGGATTCAAATAACGCCTGAAGCTGGCAATTGTCTAGTGATTTTCTAATTATAGGAATTGATCTAACTGATATGTTGCAATTGGGCCAGGACTTGGCTGAAATTGAAGATGTAGCACGCAGAGGCGCTTATTTGGAACCGTTGATAAAATTATACCAAGATTCTATGAGTTCTTTAGAAAGGTGTCCGAAACCCGTAATAGTTGCTACCCACTCGGCCTGCATTGGGGCTGGTATTGACTTAATTACAGCCGCCGATATTCGCTATTGTTCGCAAGATGCATTTTTTTCGGTAAAGGAAGTGGAAATTGGTATGGCAGCTGATGTGGGTACACTACAACGTCTCCCAAAGGCTATCGGTAGCCAATCTCTGGCCCGTGAACTATGTTTTACAGGTAGAAAGTTTGAAAGTTCTGAAGCTTTCAGTTCAGGATTAGTCAGCCGAGTTTTCCCTGACAGAGATACCATGTTGAATGCTGCGATAGAATTAGCAGAAAATATTGCACAAAAGAGTCCAATAGCTGTGCAAGCAACAAAACAAAACTTGGTGTATTCTCTAAGCCGCCCGAATCAGGACGGATTAGACCAAATTGTAAGTATTCGTAGTACTATGAAGAAGGTAGTTGAAATTGGTACAATTCTAACTTTATTTTATCCTTTTTGCCTTTTCCAACGAGATAAAGTTTAGAATGAAATCACTTTTATTTGAACTCGATTTTTGAGGAATTGTTTATTTAACACGCACAAAACTGTGAATATTTGACAACTTATATTATGAATATCATTTAATTTCAGCGTGAAATGAATAAGTTGTACTTACAATCCGAGGACTTTGCCCAGGCTGCTGCCGCGCAACTAACGAAAGGCGAAAAACCAGTTTTTGCTAAATTGTAATTCTTATATGTTTGTTATGTTTATATTATTTTTTATAAATAAATGAAGTATATTAATGTAGCATCTGTGTAATTCTTTCCATGTTTATGGCATAGACCGAATGTGAAGGTATTAGGTTATGGTCATTAAACGCTCGCTGGCAATCTCTAAGTGTTATTTCTTTTGTGACTTTAGGATACCTGAAATTTAAATAATTAATATAAACTATTATATAGACATTCAATATGTATTAAATTTATTCAACACGTACATTTCTTCACATGCTGAAAGGAAGGTAACATCATCGTTAGATCTTCGCATAAAATTTGGCGATGTTATTTCTTTGTCCAATTCTAGGGGTCCGTCATCGAGTTTTTGTCTTGTTACTGTATTCCGTAACGAGGGGTCTTTTAGCGGTGCTCCCACATCGTAGAAGAATGAACCTTCACCCGTGACTTTGTAATGCTCCTTCTTCATTATAATGGCTGAAATTAGGTTCTTCAAAAGAACTTGTACTGCCATGGCAACATATTCTGCCACACTATCCTCTACATTGATCAACCCAGACTCCCATGCCCCTATAAGGAAACGGCCCAAAATAAATCCCGCATCCGGAAGAAATAGTTCCTGGACACAATATCTTTGTGTTGGTAATATTTGAACATTTGCCTCTGTGCCAGCTGGAGGTCTAATTATTTTCATAGTATCTTCCATAATAAAATCTAGAAAGTCGTATGGTTCAAAAGTAACTCTGTCACTAGAAATTCTCGAGCTTTTCTTTCTTTTTCCTTTTTTATTACTGCTTGCGCTTCCGCTGCTGCCTAGCAATGCAGAAGAACTATTTGTTCCATAGATATTACCGATTCCACCGTATGGAGATACCTGTGGTGGCACTTGAAATGCATCGATTTTATTGAGAATCGCTATAAGAAATTGGTTATGGAGATGCATTTTATCAGATGTAAGAAGTTTTCGGGATTCGTAATCGAACTGTTCCTTTGACCATTTGTGCCGGAACCACATTTTCATATTTCCCAAATACTTGGTCACGTTTTCTCCTAATGCCACAAATAATGCATTTTTGGCTGCCACCACCTTGTCACTAGATTCAGTCATACTTTAAACAATTTAAATTTTTTATCTTTGGAAGCGACTATCTCCACAACAACAGACTGAATTAAAAAACGTTCCATGTACAACTAATAAAAGAAAGGATGATAAAAAACAAAGCCAAAATAAAATGGCCGATGATGTATTTATATTGTTGATGAAATGAAGTATCAGCTGATACTTATTAAAATGGACGATCGGCAGCACGGGTCTTGTAGAGTGTGTTTGGTCTGGCCATATTAGCATCTGTTGGCCAACGCTATTCTCCTCCGGATTTCAAAGCTGATGTTATTAGTTCTGTAGTTTTCAAGTTCCATAGTTGGTAGAGTCTACTGGACGTCTGGCGCGTTGATACCATTAGCTTGATTTCCTCGGCATTTACTGCCAGTCTCACTTTGGCAGACTCCACAATTCCTTCAAAGAAGTCTGTTACAGCTCGCAATGTTCGACCCATTATGTCGATGTCGTCGGCGTGGGCGAGTAACATATGATGTTTGGTGTACAGAGTGCCATTTCTGTTCACATTTGCATCTCGTATGTCCTTTTCCAGCAGGATGTTAAACAGGTGACACGACAAACTGTCACCTTGTCTGAATCCTCGTTCGGTATTAAAGGGCTCCGAGAGGTCCTTTCCGACTTTAACTTAAAAGTTATCCTACATAGCCATATTAATTTTGCAGGAACGCAGACATGGCTTTGAAAACCTCTGAAAGGATAGAGCTGTCGAATGCGGCTTTATAGTCATCGAATAAGTGGAATGTTTCGATGTGATTTTCGTGGGTCTTTTCCAGGTTCTGGAGCAGATTGAAAATCTGGTCAGTGGTGGATTCGTTAGGCCTGAAGCCGCATTGGTATGGTCTAATAATATCATTGACCATTGGCTTCAATCGTTTACATAGCACGATGGATAGCACTTTATATGCAATATGAAGGAGACTTAAGGGCTAAACTTAATGTTCGCGTTGAGCGTTTTTTGTTATCGCGTTAACGCACGCAAAAAGTTAAAATATATTTAACTTCAAAGCGCAGCGCACATCAACTTCGAGCGTTTTTGTTATCGTTTCCTTGTGGTTGTTGTATTTTCGATAACACATAACGCAACGGATGGGTCAACGCGAGCATTCTGCTTAGCCCTTTATTCCTCTATTGTTGGCATATATCGTCTTGTATTCTTTTTTTTTTTTTGTTTGCATGGTATACAGTATACTGAGATTCAAATCATTGAGCATGCATTTCTCTAGCCAAATTGTACTAATAAGCTGGTGTATGTTCCTGACCAGCAGCTGACAACGGGTCTTGAATAGTTCGGCTGGTAATCCATCGGCACCTGCTGCCTTATTGTTCTTCTTTTCTGACTTCATTCTGACTCATGAACATCTCGATTTGCTCACGCTCACGTTTTTCTTCTGCTTTCAAGATTCTACATTTGAAAATGTTCAATTATATAATAAAAATATTCTTTAAAAAATCTACGCCTCTTAGAAGACCCTATAAAATATTCTTTAAAATAAACCACGCCTCTTATAAGACCTTTGAAAATATTCTTTAAAATAATCCACGCCTCTTGAGAAGACCTTAGAAAATATTCTTTAAAAAATCCACGCCTCTTGAGAAGACCTTAGAAAATATTCTTTTTTAATTTTAAAGAATATTTTCTTGACATACTGTACCAATTCCTTCAAAGAAGTCTGTTACAGCTCGCAATGTTCGACCCATTATGTCGATGTCGTCGGCGTGGGCGAGTAACATATGATGTTTGGTGTACAGAGTGCCATTTCTGTTCACATTTGCATCTCGTATGTCCTTTTCCAGCAGGATGTTAAACAGGTGACACGACAAACTGTCACCTTGTCTGAATCCTCGTTCGGTATTAAAGGGCTCCGAGAGGTCCTTTCCGACTTTAACTTAAAAGTTATCCTACATAGCCATATTAATTTTGCAGGAACGCAGACATGGCTTTGAAAACCTCTGAAAGGATAGAGCTGTCGAATGCGGCTTTATAGTCATCGAATAAGTGGAATGTTTCGATGTGATTTTCGTGGGTCTTTTCCAGGTTCTGGAGCAGATTGAAAATCTGGTCAGTGGTGGATTCGTTAGGCCTGAAGCCGCATTGGTATGGTCTAATAATATCATTGACCATTGGCTTCAATCGTTTACATAGCACGATGGATAGCACTTTATATGCAATATGAAGGAGACTTAAGGGCTAAACTTAATGTTCGCGTTGAGCGTTTTTTGTTATCGCGTTAACGCACGCAAAAAGTTAAAATATATTTAACTTCAAAGCGCAGCGCACATCAACTTCGAGCGTTTTTGTTATCGTTTCCTTGTGGTTGTTGTATTTTCGATAACACATAACGCAACGGATGGGTCAACGCGAGCATTCTGCTTAGCCCTTTATTCCTCTATTGTTGGCATATATCGTCTTGTATTCTTTTTTTTTTTTTGTTTGCATGGTATACAGTATACTGAGATTCAAATCATTGAGCATGCATTTCTCTAGCCAAATTGTACTAATAAGCTGGTGTATGTTCCTGACCAGCAGCTGACAACGGGTCTTGAATAGTTCGGCTGGTAATCCATCGGCACCTGCTGCCTTATTGTTCTTCTTTTCTGACTTCATTCTGACTCATGAACATCTCGATTTGCTCACGCTCACGTTTTTCTTCTGCTTTCAAGATTCTACATTTGAAAATGTTCAATTATATAATAAAAATATTCTTTAAAAAATCTACGCCTCTTAGAAGACCCTATAAAATATTCTTTAAAATAAACCACGCCTCTTATAAGACCTTTGAAAATATTCTTTAAAATAATCCACGCCTCTTGAGAAGACCTTAGAAAATATTCTTTAAAAAATCCACGCCTCTTGAGAAGACCTTAGAAAATATTCTTTAAAAAATCCACGCCTCTTGAGAAGACCTTAGAAAATATTCTTTTTTAATTTTAAAGAATATTTTCTTGACATACTGTACCAATTTTTTTTTTTAATTTTAAAGAATATTTTCTTGACATACTGTACCAATGTATTTATTGTGTCAAGGTAACGACAATCAGCTGTTATAATCATATGTTCTTTTTAAATTGTTGTGTAAATATTTATTTATTTGCTCCTTCGATAAAGCAGCAAGGAACATGTTCGCACTAATTTATCGTAAATGTGGTAAGCCAACACTGTATATTATTGTATATGTATAATGTAATTTTAATAGTTTTCATTTTAAGGTATTTCGCATATTGCAAAGAAATTACCGATAGCATCAAATTTTTCCTCATACAACAATGCTACAAAAGCTCAAAAGAGTATCACAGATGCACTAAATAACCAGGTCTTCGGCCAACCTGTTTATGCCACACATCCTCATCTGATAAATAAGGATGAGCTAGTCCCAGGGGTGAAACTAGACGAATTCCAACAACGAAGGGCAAGACTTCTGGTCGGTGTTCAAAAATATGCCGCCGATTACATGAAAGACAAATGTACTAATCGCAACCACCTGGTATGAATTCCGCAGTTTAGGCATTGGATATAGTTCCAAGGGATATTTTTATAAATGAACTTTCTTTCAGATTATTGTTCCATCTTCAACAAAAAAATATATGAGTGATAAAATTCCATACTTTTTCCGACAAAGCAGCGATTTCTACTATTTGTCAGGGTGTTTGGAGCCCGATTCAATTCTTGCTATGTCCATCGATGATAAGGGAAATTCAAAATCAATGATGTTTATGAGGCCAAAAGATAAACACGCAGAACTTTGGGAGGGATCAAGAACTGGCGTGGACTTAGCTATAGAACTATTTGGACTAGATGAAGCATATCCTGTCGATTCATATGAGCATGAAATTAAAAGACATGTTGAATTCAATAAGCCTCTAATTTGGTTTGATCAGAACACATGCGATTTATCCAATGTTTCGGAAATTACTAAAAGAACATGTGGTTCCGCAATTGAGTCGCCTTCTACCATAATCCAAGGAATGAGACTTTTTAAATCCAGTGCTGAACAAAATTTAATGAGAAGAACATGTGAAATTGCATCTCATTCAATAAATGAAGTAATGAGTGAAACACGTCCAGGGCATTCGGAGCATCATATTTATGCAATGATAGACTTTAAATGTAGAATGCGCAATGCTAGTTATCTGGCATACCCACCTGTTGTAGCAAGTGGGAACAATGCAACAACAATACACTACATAAATAATACCCAATTATTAAAGTCGACGGATTTGTTGTTGATGGATGCCGGTTGTGAATATGGCGGGTATGGATGTTTGTTGGTACAATTACTTAGTGATGAAATGCACAAATTTATTTTATATACAGATACACAAGTGACATAACAAGGACTTGGCCTGTTAGTGGTAAATTCACAGAACCGCATAGAATTTTGTACGACGTAGTTTTGCAGCTACAAAAGGAGTTGATTGGTATGTTTATGCTTTAATTCGGAGGGATATTAATGTTTACATAGTATAGATACGTTTGGGGGTAACATTTGTTCAGGTAATCATTACTGGCCAATGCTAATATTTAACATTTAGCAAACTAAACTAGAGATAATTGTATAACAATTGCTCTTGTGTTGAATTGGTGATATTGCAGAGGAAGAAGTAGTCGTTTTACATAATACCGACCAAAAACTACTACTTGTGTTGAATTGGTGATACTGCAGAGGAAGAAGTAGTCGTTTTACATAATACCGACCAAAAACTACTACTAAAATATATCCATCATTGTACCCATGGTAAAATTCCTAAAATATGTAATAGTGCGAAAATGCAAATTTGTATTTGCTTTACATTTTATTAACTTACCAAATTGTACAAACCCCTCCTTTTCCGTAAACTAACCTTTTTTATAGTTATATTTTTGATTATTTCCACTTTCAGGAACGCTCCTTAATGAAGGTGGCCAGACATTGGATCATTTATTTGATACAATGTGTCTACGACTAGGAAAGTATTTGCAAGAAATTGGTTTGGTTTCAAAACATATAACTGATGTTGTAGGCTTAACAAGGGTATATTTAGTTTCATATATAAAATATTAAAATAGTAATGCTCAATTTTAATAATTATAGGCTGGTTATCAATTTTGTCCGCATCATGTGTCTCACTACTTGGGAATGGATGTTCACGATACACCCCTAATGCCTCGTTCGCTTCGACTCCTGCCAGGCATGGTGTGTACCGTTGAACCTGGAGTTTATATATCGAAAGACAGAACTGATGTTCCAGAGGAATTTCGTGGAATTGGTATACGGATCGAAGACGATATTTTAATCAATGGCGACAACCAGGTAGAGGTTTTAACGTCAGACTGTTGCAAAGAAATAACTGACATAGAAAACCTACATAAAAGGAAGGGAATTGAAAAGTAGACTTATATAACATCTAGTATTGTTCTTGTTTGCGCTTTGTTATATAAACTAGAGTTGTTTAAAAGGTAAATCTGTATATAAAACATATGTAGTATTAAATCATGCATGATTTTACATGGTTCTGATATATTAATTTTTACTCAGGTAAACTGTCTCGGAAAATAACAGCAATTAGAAGTGAATGCTCTTGGGATTTCACAAGTTTTTGTCATTCACTTGAACTTAACCCTTTAAAAGGCAACTAAACTTAAAATTAAATATATTTTTTTCTGTTTATCTAGCATACATAAAAGCAACATAACCTATAAAGATCCCAAATAACCAAAAAACACTACAAACGCCAAAAAAGTCACATCTCGTTGAATTAAATTGCATAAATTCAACGAGATGTGTATGAGTACTTTTCTGTACAATGGACAGTAATGGGTTAAACAAATTACCAATACTTTCATCAATTTAGTTTATTTCTCTTCTTATTTAGATAAAAAAAATATTTCTTAGACACATTTCCCGATATAGAAAAGACGACAAAATCTGTCTAAAAATATTATCAACAATCTGTTGATGATACAATTTAATGTATGTATACAATTATGTTTCGCCTTTATGCCGTCGAAGTAGCAATTGTGTCACATGCATTATTTAAAACTGGCCTCATTTAAAGATTAATTTATAGGTTTCCTTCTTCTTGATGGGCATGTGTTGCTCAATTTCATTTGGAATTGTGAAATAAGGAGGCGGTACCTATAAATAAAAGTAAAAAAATAGATTATATAGATTATATACATTACTCTTTAGGATAACAACAAAAAATCGTGTAAAGAATAATGTATCACTTGGAACATAACAAATTGTTGGCTGAAAAACGACGATGTAATCGTGGTACAATTATACAAGGTATGGTATCGTTTACCAACGTCAAACGTAGAGGGCATTATATGCCCTCTACGTTAGGGCATATAACGTTAGTGTCAACGTCATTTGACAGAAAATGTAAACAAACAAATTGTTTTTTTTTTTTTTTTTGAAAATGTAATATTTTCCAATCCTCAAAATTAAATTGAAAAACATGAGTGAACATCTTTCAAATTTATGTTTCTATCGCTTCCACGTCTTTCCTATAATTGAGCTATCGCCACTTATATTTGTAACACATATGAAAATGCAGGAAAATGCGATTTATTCAATGAAGAAAGATTTGCTTCCTCAAACTTTCCCAGCAGGCAGATTGAGTAAATTGAATACGGGAGCATATTTAATAAAGAACAATTTCAAATTGTATGCGTTCCCAATTTTCCTGTTGGGTGATTTTTAAAAACATAATTTGTCAAATTCATATTGACACTAGTATTACGTTGGAATCAAATCAGCTGGGATTTGCTGTTACTTTTTATAATTGTGCCATGCATGGATGCAATCTAATTACTTTTAAATTATCGCCCATGTGACATGTTCCGAGAGTTTTTGAATTCCCATACTTTTTTAAGGGGACCTCCCCCATTCTCGAGGTCAAAATTTTTTTTATTTAATTCGAATCTACACTAATTCAAGAATGTCCCTACAAAATTTCAAGTTAAAATCTCAAGAACTCTTGAAGATATTGCCGATTTATTGTGTCAGCGTCAAGTGACGGCTAAAGGGCTTCTCAAACTTTTAACACGTTTTTCTCTAAATATTTTTTTGCGAATGGCGGGTACGATAACTCAAAAACTAATAACCCAATCGATTCCAAATTTTTACACGTTTCTCTGTGAGTGTGTAGCTATCGTATGAACTAGGATAAAGCCAATCGGTGAAGATCTTCCTTATTTTTTAACTTGGTTTTTGGTCAAAAATCGGCGATTTTTCAAAAATATTGTTTCAAAGGTTCGCCATTTTGTTAATATTAGAGCGAAGTCAATAATCCTAGTTCATACGAGAGCCAGACATGTACTCTTTCTAACACCGTTGAAATTTTCGGATTCCGATGTTCCAGTGAGGAGTTATCATGCCCGCCATCAAAAATAAGGATTTTTCTTTAATCACAAAAAACAACAACAAAATTTTTTTGTAAATTATAAATTTAGCAGCTGCCTTAAGATTTCTGGCTGTTGGTGGGTTTCAGAGAGTAGTGGCGAATGATTTAAATATAAGTGTTGATCGCACAATAATGTGTAAAATATTGTGGAGAGTAATGAAAGTCCTGGAAGACAAAGTGTGTGCATGCAAAATAGTTGGCTTCTAGGAGACAGTGGTTACGCTTTGGAAACATTTTTGATGAGGCCCTATAAACAAGTGGAGCATGGGTCTTGTCAACATCGATATAATAAAGTGCACACATCTGCAAGAAACATTATTAAAAGGACTATTGGAAATCTTAAAAGTAGATTTTATTTTATAGATACTCAAAAATGTTACGCGCTGTTTTTAATAAAAGGAGCCGTTTTTTTATTTTCTTTAATTTTACTATAAAAACTAATGAAAACTAATTGAAAAAGACGCATGGGGTAACCCATGCGTCACTCTGTACGATTTTTCTTGCACTGTTAACATGAACGCACTGTGAGTACTGCGTTCATGATCTACGATGTGTCCTTTTTGACTACAGAAAACCAACCTCTAATATTTTTGCAATTATATGGTGTGAATGGAATAGTGTTCTTATGAACTGAAAGACTAACGCCATATTTGTTTGCGGGAATATATTGGTTTATTTTATTTTTAAAATAAATTAAATCGATTTGTTGACGATTTAGGAATTTGTTTCTTGACTATGATGGACCATTTTGTATAGTTATGGTACAGTTGTTGACGGTAGTAAAGATTTAGAATATGGGCAATTATAAAGCGTAAAAATTGCCAAAGGGAGTTGCCGTGCTCACTTCAATTGCATATAGTAATGTAATGCATATTCTACATTTATTCGACTGTATTATACTTTGCGAAATGTATCGATTTTGATTTGACGTGCTATGTTTAAATTTGAGATTTTATGCAGTATCGTCCTCTGTATATTATCGATGATAATTTAAACATCTTATAATGCTAACGCCTGGCAAGCGAGTTTGCAACGCTAAAATACATAACTATGTGATGACAATGTAAATTCTGTCTGAAAGATAGATCGGCTCTGAACTATTTAACTCATAAGGTTTTATAGTCAACCCTTGCTAGAACCCATATTATGTGTATTGCGTACACCTCTAATTATGGATAATTCTAGGATCAATTAATATCGGAACATAGCTGTATTTTATAACGGGCAAACGGGGCATTTTTCATTTTTTCATGGATTCCTCCGAAAAGAAGGGTAGTACTCACGTCTCCCTTCTAATTAGAAGGGTTCGTGACACAGTGATGGGTCTACCCCCCAAAGGCGATCACTGTACAACCGTAAGACGAGGTGCCACAACATCGGTAAAGTCTTCTGATAAGTCTATTATTGCTAGTAGGCTTACCAGTACCAGCTATAGCAAAACTTTTGACTATTGTGTATTAAGGTGTTATCATTTTAATCCACAATTGTCTGGTTTCGATGGTTTACCTGATAAAAACCATGCAACGTGCATGTCGTTTAACCAACATGCCGGTGTGCAATATGATGAAGCACATCGTTATTTCGTCATGTTTGATGGCCGCACAGTGAGAATTTCTTATAATTCTTCTTTTCATTATGCACCATCAACAATTCAGATTCATGTCAATAATAAATTGTTTATTGACGAATCTAATATAATTCTTTATGAAACGATTCTAACAAAGGATGACATTATTTATCTAACCAATATTGAAGTTCCAAAATATCAGTTTGTAAATTTAGATTCAATAGTTTCAATATTATCTGTCCCATTTGTGCCAAGGAAATTTTTTAAAGCAAATATGATCGGACATTGCATATATCGTTTTTTGAGATTATCTGTGTCTAATAGGAATATTGTTATGGATTCTATTGGATTATTATGTAATAATAATCCGAAACAATATTTATACGGTTTAATTAGTAAACGTATAAGTGGCCCATTTACCAATGTTCTTGTTCAGATGCTGACATCCCATATTGACAATGCGTGTTTTGAATCAGATAATAATTTTTCCTTGCTTAAACAAAATTATAAAATCATCCATTTACTTAATTTGTATTCAAATCCTAACGTAGTTTCTGTTTTACTATATCCACTTTTTTCACGCTTTATTAACGACTATTTTCCATATTTTATTTTTGTTAGACAGTATAATAGTCGTTTTCAAAATCGTAATGTACCTTTGTTGGAGTTTGTTCATAAACTATATAATTTCTTGTTTTCACGAGTGTTATATTGTTTTAATTTATTGTTGAAGCATATGACTTTGAAACAAGATCATACCAAATTTGTGGAATATATCTCATGTTTATCTTCCAAATCAGTTGGTCTTAGATTGCCATTACCTAGCCTACATCTGATTGAGGTTAGTTCATGCTACGATTTTAGTTGTGCAGGGTTTTGCGATACTGTGAACAAAGTGAAACGATCTACTCACTCCAAGATGGTTTGTCAAGAACAGCTTTTTGATTGTCTTGACACAATGGCGTATGTAGTCCGTGTGAAAGACTCCGCCGAAATTCGACCTTGGATAAATTTAATTTGTGAGAAAAAATACCCTTTGTTCATAGCTAATACTTTCGTTACTAGTGTCGTGTTTGTATATTCGTCTCCTGATGTTTCTTTGGAATTGAAACAGGAGATTGGCAATTATGGCATTACCCTCGATATAGTAATTAATTCTAGAGGATATTGCTATGATGGTCTTATGAGCCCGACATATAGCTGTACTAATGGTCAGTATAATAAAATTGATCAGAGATTCACTGACAGATTGTACGATGAAACCAATGTAACGTATGTTTCCCTGTTTTCTTCTAAGAATCGTATCTTTCAACATCCGGCATTTTTTATAGACCAGCTGCAACGGAAATTTACTGAGATAGTAAACGCGTATTCAAATGTCATCCCTAATACGCAATTCCACATGAGTGTCGTTAC